CTTGTGTCATACGCGCGTGAAATCACTGAATCAATGAATGATTTTCCGCCACTAGTCCTAGGCATCACACGTCTCCGAAGGATCTCAATGCAGCTTGGCTACTGTGGCGCAAATAGGCCACTGAAGTTCAGATTTTTCAACTCTCATGAATAAGCGTATGACACGAAATTGAGCTACTCGCTTAAGTTACGTATTTTGCACAATTCCCATCGTGTCCAACACGTCCATTGTGCCAAATGCGCCACCCAGCAGGAAATCGTGTCTGTTTGCGTCTTTACATTGATTTTACATGTAATTCACTCGCGCAATTTGTTTTATTCGTGCCTGGTTTGAACACATTATTCACATTATTTATTGAGTTCTTTCACTCTCTTGCATTCCTCCCACACACATATCTGGGTTATACTGCATTAATGAGGAATTATCACAAACTTAGATTGTTCAGTCTTGCTGTCTTACAATTTGTGTAATATATACAAGTGTGTCGCTGATGTTACCAGCCAGAACTTGAAGGTGCAATGAGGTCTTAAAATAAAAAGGTAAAAAGTATTCAATTTAACTTCAGAATTTCTGCATATACCCTGGTCATAGTCAGACACTAGTTTTCTGTTTGGACACAGTGGCATTATGTTCCACTCGGGAGTGGCTGCTGAGTCAAGTAGGTCACCTGGTAAAATCCAACATACCAGTGAGGTCTGGTGTGAAAAATTTTCACACCAACCTAACCCTAATCACTAGTCAGATCCTCCTCTGGCCACTGTCCATGAAACCAACTCTTTCTGGGGGACTCAGAATTAACTCTGACACTCTGTGATCCATTTGCAGCCGAAAAAATAAATAAAATAAAGAAAAGGTTTATTCTGTAATCAAGTCGGCCTTTGGTAACAACTACAGAAAAAAAGCATCCTATCACAAATTGTGAATATTCTGCATGAAAATATCAAACCCTGTCCCAGTTTCTAATGTCTCTCTTTTAGTCTCACATTAAAACACAGGATAGCATAGAGAGAGCAATAATATCAAAAATGGTTTATTCATTTAATATTTAAAAAACTGAAAAGCATATTCATAAAATTGTTCCAGTTTACACTAACTGATGATACTAGTTTTAGGGATATCACACTGCTGCAAAGGAGATTCCATGTTGATTCTTAGATTTGGGAGAAACAACGTGGATTCTTTTTAGCCCTTTACCCTTTCAAGATGATGGAGGGTTCATTGCAGTTTTTACTATGCAGTCTATGCATGTTTTGTGGAGAGGATTTATGAGTATGTCCCTCGCTGTATCTTGGTGATAGAAAATGTTGATATTTTCAGCAGAAGGTCAAGCACATTCCTTGCGGGTTTGGTGATCTGCCAGGGTTGTGCCTTGCAGATGTATCTTACTGCTGCGTTGTTGTGTTGGTTGTCTCTTCGGCTGTGACATGCACTGACATATCTTACTGCTTCTATGGCGCTGACACTTTTCTCACAGTGGTTAGATAGTTTGCCATCGTGTACTGTCTGTTTATGGCCAAATAGCACTGAAGTTCGTTTTGGGTTTTTGTAGTAGATGTCTCATCGTTGATAATTTTCTTTCTCTTTAGCTACAGTTTGGCTGGGCTGGATTGTGTGAACATTGTCCAGAGGCCTTGCGCTGTTAGAGGAGGTAAGCCTCAGGACCAATTGGCTGAGGGGACTCCTCTTTATGTTCTCCTCTTGGCAATGAAGAGCTTTGTGATGGTAGGAGTTGGGGTCATTTGTTTTTACGCGTTTGTAGAATTGATCTTTTTTATATTCTAATTAAAAGGACATATTGGCAGAGTTTAGCTCGGCATCCATTGTTAGGGGTGTTCCTGTGGACTCTGAGTATACTCTTGCAAATGTCAGTGGGTAGAGCTTCAGTTGGGTGTTTGTCCCATTTTTCAAAGTCTTGATTTACAAGAGGAGCCCACACTTCACTACCATACAGTAATGTTGGTTGGATTATAGATTGGAATATTTTGAGCCAGATTCTAACAGGTATATCTGTTTGAAGATTTTTTTATAGCAAAGAAAGCTCTCCTTCCCTTGTCTCTTAGATCATGAACGGCAAGATTGAAATTTCAAAGTCATTTTTAGTCCCAAATATATGTATATGTGTATGTTTTATGTCACTGGAGCCCAGCAGGAACCTGTTTGGGTTTCCCTGATACCTGGGTCATTTCTGGAAGACCATAATTCTGGTCTGTCTCTATCGGCTTTTACGCTCTTTGTTTCTGTGGTGGCGGGCATATGGAAATGTGGAAGTACAATGTATAGTTTGAGCAATGGCTCAAGATCCAGCGAAAATTTGATGAGCATGGATATCTAGGTACTGGTCAGACAGAGGGACGTTTACCACAGTTAATTCACACATACTAACCACATTGTTATAATACAATCAGTCAATCAATCAATTTTATTTATAAAGCCCAATATCACAAATAACAATTTGCCTCACAGGGCTTTACAGCATACGACATCCCTCTGTCCTTTGGACCCTCACAGCGGATAAGGAAAAACTCCCCAAGAAACCCTCTTTAACAGGGAAAAAAAATGGTAGAAACCTCAGGAAGAGCAACTGAGGAGGGATCCCTCTTGTAGGACGGACAGACTTGTAATAGATGTCGTACAGAACACATCAACATAATAAATACAGTATACAGTAATCTGTATACAAAATGATACATAAAGAGAGACAGAGAGAGATGCAGGACAGACAGTCGTGACAGTAGCTTACAACAACATTAATTTAAGAAATAATATAATAATAATTACTGCTATTGTGGTACAATATCTTGTTGGTATATATTAAAGGAGCTATATGTAAGAAATCTAAAGCAAATAGTCGTAAAATCATCCTAATATGTCACAGAGACTAAGCAATAATGTTCATATAACATACTGATCTCACCGACAACAATAGTTGAGCCAGAATATTCGCATTTAAAAAAAAAAAAATTATGGTCTGCAAATCATGTTTATGTTTTGAATTTGTGTTTTGGCCTGTTGTGCCACCCACCTCTGTCTACCAGTCACTTAGTCAGTAGAGTCTCAGCATCAGTTACAGTTACGACTGAGCTACAGCAGCACGGCAAGCAGCATTAGCAGTGTCCCGGTACATAGCATTAGCAGCTGGCTCCTCCTCAGCTGTATCCCGGCAGCTGCAGCAGCAGTGAAGCCGGACTTGCTCGAATGGTCCGCTGGAAAACCGAAGATGGACGGGGCGACGCGGCCCTGCCACGGCAGCCGCCCGTGGGCAAACAAATCAGTCTCCAGCGTGCCGCTGTCCAGCAACCTCGAATCTGTAGGGGAGGAGGGGCGGACACAACTCGCGGCAGTATTTTGAATTTGAGTGCAGTAACCGTTTTGGCCACATTCTTACATACAGCGCCTTTAATATATGATAGTATACATATGTGACAATAATCATGTGTATAATAATAGTAGAAGTATGACTAATGATAACAGCAGCAGCAGGAGGCATTTGGCAGTACCACGGCAGCAGCACAACCACACACATCACACCATCCAGGCACTGCTGCAATACGAGTTAACCTGCAAGACAGTGGAGCACAAAGGCTCCAGAGAAGAAGCCAAGTTAGTAACATGTAGTAGAGCTGAGTTAGCAAGATGCAGTAAGAAGACATGAGTGTTAGCAAAGGAGAGAGAGAGAGAGAGAGAGAAGGAGAGAAGGTGCTTGGTGTATTATGGGAGGTCCCCTGGCAGACTAGGCATATGTCAGCCTAACTAGGGGCTGGTACAAGGCAAGCCTGAGCCAGCCCTAACTATAAGCTTTATCAAAAAGGAAAGTCTTAAGTCTAGTCTTAAATGTGGAGACGGTGTCTGCCTCCCGGACCGCAACAGGAAGATGATTCCACAGGAGAGGAGCCTGATAGCTGAAGACTCTGGCTCCTGATCTACTTTTGGAGACATTAGGGACCACGAGTAACCCTGCATTCTCAGGGCGCAGTGTTCTGGTGGGATAATAAGGCACTATGAGCTCTCTAAGATATGACGGAGCCTGACCATTTAAAGCTTTGTAAGTTAGGAGTAGGATTTTAAATTCAATTCTGGATTTTACAGGAAGCCAGTGCAGAGAAGCTAAAACAGGAGAAATGTGATCTTGTTTCTTAGTTCCTGTCAGTACAGGTGCTGCTGAATTAGCTGGAGAGTTTTTGAAGACTTAGAGCTACCTGATAATAGGGAATTACAGTAATCCAGCCTAGAGGTAACAAAAGCGTGGACCAATTTTTCTGCATCTTTTTGGGACAGGATAGGCCTAATTTTCGCAATATTATGCAGATGAAAAAACACAGTCCGTGAGGTTTGTTTTAAATGGGAGTTAAATGACAAATCTTGGTCAAATATTACTCCAAGCAATGCCATCCAGAGAAACTGTATTATCAGACAGAATTTCTGAGGTGTTTGGGGCCAAGAACAAACTTCAGTTTTGTCTGAATTTAACATAAGGAAATTTGAGCTCATCCAGTTTTTTATGTCTTTAAGGCATTTTTGAAGTTTAGTTAATTGATCTGTTTCCTCTGGCTTTATCGATAAATACAAAGCTGGTTAAAAGTCAAAGTATCCCTTTAATGCTGATAGTGTTTATGAATAGCACAGACAGAATCTTGGCTCAACCGAGGGGTAGAGAGTATCTGGTATGCTGACCTCTTGATTCCATCTCTGCCTGTTGTTGATCTCTTCCCTCCAGCCCCTTCTGGCTTTATTGACCTGTAATTCCAGTGTGCACTGGGATGGTTTGCAGCAGAGAGGCAAGTGGCACGAAGGGGGTCAGCACCTCCAAGTTTTAGGCGATCTTCCTGAAACAGCTGTTTTCTCAGATATTCCCAGTCAGGGTTGAGAGTTTGATACCTGACCTCTATAGGTCAGATTAATTCACAATATCATTAACTAATAAATGATAATGTGTTATTATAGTATGCATGTCAGCTTTGCTGCTTTTTACAAGCTCTCACTCTCACTGTCTCCTCCTCTAGTTCGTCCACAGGCCTCCATCTCTATCGACATGTTGTCCAACAGCAGCATCCTGGAGCTGGCCGACCAACCAGATGGCTGGGGGTCTGGGGATCAGATAGTGGTGGCCAGTACTGACTATTCCATGCACCAGGCTGAAGAGTTCACCCTGTTGCCCTGCCCTACCTGCACATCGAACCAGGTCAAAGTCCAAGGTAAGAGAACCGTTAACCTACACTATGTTACCATGCAAGACTGGAGAGACAGGTTTCGATGCTGCTTGGAAAATCATTTATGTTATCTCAGTGCAGTTCTACTTGCTTTGTAATGGGTATATGTTGAACCCAGATGCAGCACACAGGCACAGCGTGAGGTTTGATAATGACCTTTATTATACAAAGAGCAAACAGGAACTTGAGCTGACGAAGATATTCAGGGAACAGTTCGTTCTTCAGGCTCAGAGCCAACACACACAGTCTCTGGGTTCAGGGGCCAGGGAACAGACAGGGTGAAAGCGGGACTGAGAATGAGGACACGAGTCCTCGGACCCAAATAGTTCAGTCTGGTGGCAGGCAGAGGTGACAGAGAGGGGCTTACTGATGGTGTGGCCCCAGAACACGCGGGGGCCTGAATCAAAAGAGTAGTCCAGCGAAGCAGCAGAGCTGACAAGGGATGAGCAGCAGGGAAGTCAGGACCAAGTGGAGAAGTCGGGACCAGGTGAGCAGACAAGACAGGCAGACGAGCCAACGAGGGACAAGCAGGAGGTAAGTAGAGGCCAGGCAATGGATTGAGGAGCCTACAGGTGGGTGAAATGAGAACACACAAACAAGGTAGTGTGTGGCATCTCCTGTACAGTCTCTGAGCTGCAGTAGGCAACTGGCGAGCAGGTGGGAACACTCTTGCTGTAGCGTCGTTGCAGGAAAACACCATACAGCCACAGGCAGACTTAAAACAGAGACACTGAGGCGGGACTTGGGGTCGGGACAGAGGGCCGGTGAGTTTACTGGGAAACAGACAATGCAGGCAGGTCAAAGGCAGGGTCAGCAACCGGAGATCAGGCAGGTTAGGAGTGCTGGAAAGTATTGCATGTGGGCAAAGAACAATTTGGCAAAAAGTGTGCGTGTGCTGGAGAGGCTTATATACTGGGCTGATTGGCTGATGAGCTGCAGCTGTGGAGGCAGGTGAGTGGAGTGGGGTGATCAGGTGGGAGTGTCTGGCAGGTAGAGTGAAGCAGAGGTGGGAGAGTTGAAAAACACTGGGAGAGCAGGGGAGCAAAAAGCAGGCTGTGACATGCTTTGTCATGTTTAGTTTAGTTTAGTTTATTAGGATCCCCATTAGCTGCAGCAATGCCACAGCTATTCTTCTTGGGGTCAGATACATATACATAAAATTATACAGTACATTACGTGACAATACATAACCAGAGTTGGGTATTTGATTACTTTTTGCAGTAACGAGTAACCTAACGCGTTAGTTTGCTGTTTGAGTAATCAAATACTTGAGTACATTTTCTACAAGCCATCAGTTACTTCCGTTACTTTTAGAACGCTGGTCCTTCAGCTCTGAAACAGCAACGACTGTCTTTTGGTTCTAATAACGGAGACAACGTTATACCTATCAGTCCGAAAGAAGCCACGAAGCTTGTGGCTCGCTAGGTGGTAGAAGAAATGCTGCCGTTGTCTACGGTGGAGTCTAAAATAAGGTGGAGGAGGACTCGCTGACAGACAGGTCAGACTGAGGACTTGCATTATGCCTGGTACACACGACACGAATTTTCTACCTGTTCTGAAAGTCACTATGTCACATTACGCGATTGTGGAGTCATAAAATCATGCCGTGACTTGGCCGACAGACATGACACACTACACGATGATACTCACCAATTATCCCCAGTCGTCTTTCCTGTCATCGGGTTATTCTTGTCCTGTTTTTATTACTTTTACTATTATTTCAGTCACTGTGTCTGTTCATGTGCCAGCCGATTGTTGTAGTCACCAAAAAGCGTCAGCAGATGGCAGGAGCTTCATTTTAAGTATTGTAGGCAAACATTCAAGCTACTGTATCCTCCACAACCAAGTTCTTAGAAATGTTTCACAATAAAAGCCTATTTAGAAAATGGAGGGATTCTCTCAGCCGAGGTTATAAGGGGCTTTTTATTTGAAGGAAAATCAGGAAGTGTTGAGTTTGAAATGACGACGCAATGTGTTAACTTTATAAAGACAACAGGAGCGGATAAAAAGTAAAAATATAAAGATACGGAGGGATTAATAAATAACGGACCGTCTATAATGTAGTCTGTTTCAAGTGAAGCTGGGAACCTCTGCAGTTGTGGCGAGTAAAAGCCCCGCCACTATTTGCTAATGTTATTACTTTATGTCCAACCGTGAGGACGTAACATTGTTTGCTAGCTTGATGCTAATGACAGTAACATTAAAGGGATAGTGCACCCAAAAATGAAAATTCAGCCGTTATCTACTCACTCATATGTCGATGGAGGCCCTGGTGAAGTTTTAGAGTCCTCACATCCCTTGCGGAGATCGGCGGGGGGAGCGGCTAGCACACCTAATGGCAGACGGCGTCCCAGACTAACGTCCAAGAACACAAAATTGAATCCACAAAATATCTCCAACATGCTCATCTGTAGTGATCCAAGTGTCCTGAAGCCGCGACATAAAAAGTTGTTTCGAAAAACTCAAGTGCAGGCATCGCCAATTCCCAGTCTGAGCAGCAAAGACTTTCCTCATCCGTTGGCATTGCTTTGCATTTGAAACAACTACACCACCAGGTTTCCAGTGCTCAACTCCGGTATTCTGCGGCTGGCTGAGGGTTAGGCTCATGAGCTGCAGCGGCTGCTTTGTCCAGTAGCCTGAGTTCTGTCCAGGCTCAAACAAATACGACTCAACAAAGAAATGCTGTTCTTCCTCAGTTTCAAAGTCTTCAGACATGTTGGGCTGTAAAAGACCCTAGTGCAAACTATCTTTTAGCTACTGTGGTTACTGTTGTCTCCCCCTGCGGTGCACGTGTCACGTGATGTAAACACAGGTAAGCAAAGCTCATGCTTTCGCTGGTCTCGCGCAGGCGCGCACACGTGAACGCGGAGCACAGAGAAGCAGTCAGAGCTACAGGCTACGGTAAGGCTAAAAACAGAGTTCATATGACGTTTTTCGAAACAACTTTTTATGTCGCGGCTTCAGGACACTTGGATCACTACAGATGAGCAGTATGGAGATACTATGTGGATTCAATTTTGTGTTCGTGGACGTTAGTCTGGGGCGCCGTCTGCCATTAGATGTGCTAGCCGCTCCCCTCGCCGATCTCCTCAAGGGATGTGAGGAGTCTAAAACTTCACCAGGGCCTCCATCGGCATATGGGTGAGTAGATAATGGCTGAATTTTCATTTTTGGGTGCACTATCCCTTTAACTCAGCGGGTTGACAAAGTGCCTCTGCTGTTTCACACCATCATTTCCCCCTTTTACTCTGTGTGGTAACATCCCTAGAGGAAATATTAAAACGCTGGGGTGTTGTTGTCATACAGTTGTCTATGGCAGCAGATCGTTCTGTGTTTCTACTGGTCAAAGTGACGGCTGTGATGGGAGAATTGGATCTCAGTGAAGGGCAAGTGGTCCATAACTTTAATTTTGGAGACAAAAAAATGTAGGCTTAGTGCCCTGTGGTCCATTGCCCAATAGGAAATGTAGAATACTCAAAAGTACTTTAAAAGTGCTTGAGTTACTTTTCTCAGGGAGTAACACAGTAAAGTAACTGGTTACTTTTTAAAAAAGTAACGCAGTGAAGTACTTTGATTACTTTTAAAGTACTGTAACCCTTACCCAACTCTGTACATAACACTGCAACACAATAAAGCATAACAAGCAAACAAAACAATTTCTTCATGTAAGTAACGCCGGATTTCCACTGGATGCGTGTCCGTTGCGGAACGGCAGCGCTGGTTATCTGCTGCGTGCTCCGCCGTCCGTCAATACCCACCGGCTGCGTTTGCTGTGCGGAGCGGTGCAGCTCCGCCGAAGACATCTCGGTGCACTGCCATGATTAATATCTCCTTGTCCATGGTGTTAACGGGGAAAAATGACGTCTGAAAACCTCTGACCTGTTGACTTCAGGCCTGCCTCTGCCCATTATGTAGTTTTCAAGGTGTAATGCAGGGAAATATGATCCACTGTGAACACTGTGTACTTCATTTTGAAAATTAACCGGATGTTTTATTTTGTTTCTGTGCACGACTTCCTGCCCCGCATGATCTGCTCTGTACTGAATTACTGCGTTGTGCTCCGGCGTTCGGCAAAAATAGAAGTCCTGCGTATCGTATCTGTGCCGGAGCTGAGACGGAGCTGGAACGCAGCACAGCCGCAGCCAGTGGAAACACACACATTGACTAGAATTGAATCCTATCGGCTCCGCTGCCGTGCTGGAGCGGAGACACAACCAACACGCATCTGGTGGAAATAGGCCGTAACACCACAATATAAACTCAGAGTTCTCCACACAAAAACACAAAAGGCATTTAGACCAAATGCTGAAACAACAGAAGACAACCCAAACCAAGTTCCAAAATGGGAACAAAAAGATAATATTGGGCGACAATAATGTAGAAGCAAGTCAAACAGTGTGTTTGTGTGAACTGTTATACTTGTATTTTACAAATATATTTACAAATATTGACAGCCAGGGTAATTTTGCAAAATATAATACAATGTCCTTGCTACTATAAACTCAACCAGCAAACACTTATATATAACGCATATATCTCTTAGACCAACTCATTCCTGTGCTTTCCATCTACTCTATTCAAAAAATGCCGCTTTACTAATAATTCAAAGAGACTCTTCCTGTTCTCCTGTTTGATGTGTTTAGGGAGGAAATTCGATTCTTGCATAGCTCTGTACATGACTGTTCTTTTGTTTGCATTAGTCTAGCCCTTGGTAGTGTGAAATTACCTGTAGTCACTTGCCTGGTGATGTAATTATGTTTATCTATACTGAAGGATAGCTTCTGATACAAAATAGGTGGATTCTTTGTAACAGAGACATTTCTAATAAATGCAAGTGATGAATAGAGTAACCTGTCTTTTACAAACAGCGAGTTAAGACTCTTATGCATAGTAACATTTGATCTGTAATTGCACCGGAGTACTATGCGTGCTGCTCTGTTCTGTGCCATCTGCAATTTCTTAATCATTTTCCTTGTAGCACTGGA